ATCTATCTATCTATCTATCTATCGTCTTTATTGTTGTTGTTGTTAGTTGCGAAGTCGTGTCCGACCCATCGCGACCCCATGGACAACGTTCCTCCAGGCCTTCCTGTCCTCTACCATCTTCTGGAGTCCATTGAAGCTCACGCCTACTGCTTCAGTGACTCCATCCAGCCACCTCATTCTCTGTCGTCCCCTTCTTCTCTTGCCCTCCATCTTTCCCAGCATTAGGCTCTTCTCCGGTGAGTCTTGATTAGGTGGCCAATATCTCCAACATGCTTTCCTTCTCTTTTTCCTAGAAAAATGACCCTGTGAGGTGGGCTGGGCTGAGAGAGACAGAGGGAGTGATTGGTCCAAAGTCACTTAGGCTTTCACATCTAAGGCATGGGTAGAAGTCACAGCTTCTTGGTAATTGCCCCAAAGTCACCCAGCCAGCTTTTGTGCCTGAGGCAGGACTAGAACTCACCACCTCCTGGTAATTGGCCCAAAGCCACCCAGTCGGCTTTCACGCCTAGGGCGGGATTAGAACTCTCAGTCTCCTGGTGATTGGCCCAAAGTCACCCAGTTGGCTTTCATGGCTAAGGAGAGACTAGAACTCACCGTCTCCAGGTCATTGGCCCAAAGTCACCTAGCTGCTTTCATGTGGGTCTCACCCATTTCTTGCCCCTGTTTTTTTTTTGGTTTTTTTTTGCCTCCGCAGGCCGGGAACGTCGTGACGGGCGAAATGGTGGAGGAACTCATTTTGTCAGGCGCCGACATCATCAAAGTGGGGATCGGACCAGGTAATGGTGGCGCCTGGCAGAGTCGGCCTTCTGCTTACATCTATCTGGGCTAAAAATTTCAGTCTAGATTGCCCCTGCTGAAGAGCTGGGGACCATTAGATTCTTGCTAGGGATCTTCCTGGCTTAATCCTGGCTTGTTTCAGGCTCAGTTTGTACCACCCGCAAGAAGACCGGGGTGGGCTACCCCCAACTCAGCGCCGTCATGGAGTGTGCGGACGCTGCCCACGGTCTCGGGGGACACATCATCTCGGTGAGAAAGTGAAACCTGCTACTTAACCGTGTTTGAGTTCGAGCCACAGCAATCTGTCGATCGAGGTCTCCAATCTTGGCAACTTGAAGACCTGTGGACTTCAACTCCCAGAATTCCCCAGCCGGCCATGCCTGTTTTTTTTTTCCCCCTCCTATCCCTTAAAGCGGGGAGATTGGAGAGGAAGGGATTATGAGAGAGTAAGTGGACTTCAACTCCCAGAATTCCCCAACCGGCCACGTCTGGTTTTTTTTTCTCCTATCCCTTAAAGTGGGGAGATTGGAGAGGAAGGGATTATGAGAGAGTAAGTGGACTTCAACTCCCAGAATTCCCCAGCCGGCCACGCCTGTTTTTTTTCTTCTCCTATCCCTTAAAGCAGGGAGATTGGAGAGGAAGGGATTATAAGAGAGTAAGCGGGACTACGATGAGTATGCTGGCTGGGGAATTCTGGGAGTTGAAGTCCACAGGTCTTCAAGTTGCCAGGATTGGAGATCTGTTGTATTCCTGGAAGGGGACAAGTTACCAGAGACTTTAGTAACGTTTTATAGAATAAAAGTGTTGGATAAAGGAAAGAACGTGTTTATATTGGAATCGAGTGGCTTTCTTTGTCTTTTGATATCATTTTCAGGGTTTCCTTCTCTGTTGCTGTACAAGCCGGCTTAAGAATCCTTGTTCATCTGGGCCAGAGGTAGGCAACCTTGGCTCTTTTATGACTTGTGGACTTCAACTCCCAGAATTCCTGAGTCAGCCATGCTGAGGGAAAAGGGAGAGGTTTCCAAGCTGAGCCATGCTGGCTCAGGAATTCTGGGAGTTGAAGTCCACCAGTCATAAAAGAGCCGAGGTTGCCTACCCCTGATCTGGGCAAACAGTATAATTCTCACAAGTCCAGCACAATCATTGCTTCACGCAACCTCCTCTTTGTCTGACTCATATTTATATTATCCTTGAGGACTAGAATCTTGCTCTGCCTGTTCCTTTGCACGCCTTTGCACGAGTTGATGTCTGCTTAGGATGGAGGCCTTAAATAAAATACAGGCAGGTTAACTTTCCGTTCTCTTTTCTGCAGGATGGAGGCTGCCATTGTCCAGGGGATGTGGCCAAAGCTTTTGGTAAAATCCCATTTTCCATATTCTGCTGGTTAAGTTTGTTGAGGTAGTGCTGGGGCGATACAGGCCGTCCTCGACTTACGACAGCAATTGAGACTATACTTTCCGCCGTTAAGCAGGGCAGTTAAGCGAGCACGCCCAATTTTGTGACCTTTCCTGCCACGGCGGTTAAGCAAAATCACTGCCGTTTTTAAGTGAGTCAGGCGGTCGTTAAGCGAATCCGGGATCCCCTGTTGCTTGTCGGAAGCTGGCTGGGAAGGTCACAAATGGGGATCACGTGAGCCTGGGAGGCTGCAACCGTCGTAAATCCATGCCAGTCGCCAGCCGCCTCAAATTTGATGTAGGGATGCCGCGACGGTCGTAAGTGCGAGGACCGTTACTAAGCCACTTTTCCCAGGTGCTGTTGTAACCTTGGTCACCAAAGGGATGGTTGTTAAGTCGAGGACTAGCCTGTACGGGTTAGTCCTCGACTTACGACCATAATTGAGCCCAAAATTTCTGTCCCTAAGCAAGACAGTTACTACCGTGTTTCCCCGAAAATAAGACCGGTCATAAGTCCCTTTTTTTCAGCACCGTTGTCACTTCGAACGGTCACTATATGAACTGTTGTAAGTTGAGGACTGCCTGTGTATGTATGTATGTATATATGTGTGTATCTGTGTATATGTATATCTATTTCTATCATCTATCTATCATTTATCATCTATCTATATCATCTACATCTATCTATCTAAGCTATATATCCATCCATCCCACCCACCCACCCACCCACCTCTATCTATCTATCTATCTATCTATCTATCTATCTATCTATCTATCTATCTATCTATCTATCTATCTATCTATCTATCTATCTATCTATCTATCTCTATCTCTCTATATATCTATCTAGCTTCTGTCTTCTATATCTGTCTGTCTATCCATCCATATCTATCTATCTATCTAATCTATCATCTCTCTCTATATATCTATCTAGCTTCTATATCTGTCTATCTGTCTATCCATCCATATCTATCTATCTATCTATCTAATCCAGTGGTTCTCAACCTGTGGGTCGGGACCCCATTTGGGGTCGATCAACCATTTCATGGGGGTCGCCAAGCAAGGCTGTCCGCCATTTTTTTGTCCGCCATTTTTTTTGTCTGCCATTTTTCCCCCCTTTTCCGGCGGGTGCCTTAGCTCCCTTGGGCTGGGCCAGCTGGTGGTCGGCCTGCTCCGTCTCTGCCGTTTGCCAGCTACGCCTCGGCCGGCGCAGGGGGCGGAACCACGCATGCGCGGCGCTCCCGGGCAGGGAAAGTCCTCGACTTACGACCGGTTGGGTAGTCCTCGACTTACGACCGGTTTAGTCCTCGACTTACGACCGGTTTAGTCCTCGACTTATGACCGGTTGGGGTCGCAGCATTAAAAAGGTTGAGAACCACTGATCTAATCTATCTATCATCTCTCCATATATATATCTATCTAGCTTCTATCTTCTATATCTGTCTGTCTGTCTGTCTGTCTGTCTATCCATCCATATCTATCTATCTATCTATCTATCTATCTATCTATCTATCTATCTATCTATCTATCTATCTATCTATCTATCTATCTATCTATCATCTATCTATCCCATCCATCCATCCATCCATCCTTCCATCCATCCATCCATCCATCCATCCATCCATCCATCCATCCATCCATCCATCCATCCATCCCTCCCTCCCTCCCTCCCTCCCTCCCTCCCTCCCTCCATCTATCTATCTATCTATCTATCTATCTATCTATCTATGCTTCTTGGGCGGGAGAGCCGCTTGCTCTGCCTGCATAATCTGAATTGTGCCCCACAGGCGCCGGTGCAGACTTTGTGATGGTGGGAGGCATGTTGGCTGGACACACCGAATCTGGGGGGGACCTGATTGAAAAGGAAGGCAAGAAATACAAGCTTTTTTACGGCATGAGCTCCGAGGTGTCTATGAAGAAATACGCCGGAGGCGTAGCCGACTATCGGTACGGAAGCCGGAAGCGGTTAACGTTAATGGTTACACTTTTAAGACTCGCGGACTTCAACTCCCAGCATTCCCCAACCAGCATCATAGAGTCTATAGGGCTAGAAGGGACCTTGGAGGTCTGCCATCGGAGGACTTTCCTGTAGCGCCCCTCTCTCGGCGATAGCAGGAAACGGTCCATTATTGGATTCCCATCCCTTCCACCACCATGGTGGATTTCCACCTGGGAAGGATCCCTGCTTCTCCCAATCTATTCCAGGAGGAGCAAGACAGTAGGATCCATTCCCAAGTGACGAAGAGATGTGTTTTCCAGGCAGTTCCCCTCTGCTTAATTTGAATCTTGACACAGATCAGGGGCTGAGACTAGACCAGGGGTCTGCAAACTCAGCCACTTTAAGACTTGCGGACTTCAACTCCCAGCATTCCCTAACCAGCATCATAGAGTCATCGGGCTGGAAGGGACCTTGGAGGTCTGCCAGTGGAGGACTTTCCTGCAATGCCCCTTTTCCTTTTCTTTAAGGTTTACAAAAAAACCCCTAAAAAAACCTAAAATTCATAAAAAAATCATTCCACACAGTGCAACCTAAAAGTTCGAAATGGCTATTCCAGTTCTCCCTTAATTCTTTGTTAGCAATCCAAATTTTGAAAACATATGTATGTATGTATATATATGTATATATGTTATCTTGAGTTTGGTGCACCCTGTCGGCCCAAATATGTATATGTGTATGTATGTGTATGTATATATATGTATGTGCATATATATATGCGTATATATGTATGTTTATATATGTATATGTATGTATATGTATATGTATATATGAGTTAATAGAAAAATATAAATGGGAAGGAGAAAGGGAAGAACTTTCACCCTGGATCCCATTGGTAGCCTAGACCAGGAGTCTCTAATCTCAGCCTCTTAAAAGAGTTGTGGACTTCAACTCCCAGAATTCCCCAGCCAGCCACGCAGACCCCTGCCCTAAAAGAGCTAGCCGATCATAGAGTCACAGGGCTGGAAGGGACCTGGGAGGTCCGCCAGGGGAGGACCTTCCTTGCAACGCCCGCTCCTCCCTCTTCCTCCCGCAGGGCCTCCGAAGGCAAAGTGGTGGAGGTGCCCTTCAAGGGGGACGTGGAGCACACCTTGAGGGACATCCTGGGCGGGATCCGCTCCACCTGCACCTACGTGGGCGCCGCCAAGCTGAAGGAGCTCAGCCGCCGGACCACCTTCATCCGCGTCACCCAGCAAGTGAACCCCATCTTTGGGGGGCAGGATCAGCCTTGAGGGGGGGCCCCTGCTCCCTTCCCCCCCCCCGGGGCTGATGGGGAAATCAAAGTTTCCTTTAGAAACACGCCGATTCCTCCATGGTGGAGAAGCCAGCGCTACTTCTTCCTCTTGTTCCGAGGGCGACAAGCCTCCATTTCTCACTCTTCCATTCCGTGGAAGACACTCCCTGCCAGTAGCACTGATGACGTTCCCTAGTTGGGTCATGAAACGTCTGCAAGGAAGCCACCAAGCTCAGAGAGCACCAAGGACCCCCCAGTCCTCTTCCTGTCTTTCCCTCCTCCTCCCACACTCCCTTCTAGCACTGATGATGTTCCCTAGTTGGGTCATGAAACGTCTGCAAGAAAACCACCAAGCTCAGAGAGCGCCAAGGATCCCACTCTTCTCCTCTTCCTCGCCCTGTCTTTCCCTCCTCCTCCTCTCTGCAAACCCCAAGCACTGATGATGTTCCCTAGTTGGATCATGAAACGTCTGCAAGAAAACAAGCCAAGCTCAGAGACCACCAAGGACCCCTCAATTCTCCTCCTCCTCTCCACAAACCTCACTCCTAACATAGATGATGTTACCTAGTTAGGTCATGAAATGTCTACAAGAAAACAACCAAGCTCAGAGAGCACCAAGGACCCTACACTCCTCTTCCTCCTCCTCCTCTTCCTCTCTCCAAACCCCACTCCCTTCTAACACTGATGATGTTCCCTAGTTGGGTCATGAGACATCTGCAAGAAAACAGGCTCAGAGACCACCAAGGACCCCACAGTCCTTCTCCTCCTCCTCCCTTGTAGCACTGATGACGTTCCCTCGTTGGGTCACGAAACATCCGCAAGAAAGTAACCCAGCTCGGAGAGTTCCCCCCCCCCAAGGACCCCGCCGAGAAAGGCATTTGCAAACACTTTTATTTTTCCAAGGCTTTCAAACATTCCAGTTCCCAAAGGCGCCTCGACCGGTCAGGGTCCCGCCCTTCACGTTCCCGAGACGAACTCCCGAAACGCGTGAGCCGTTCGACGCGCCGCCTCGGCCGTAGACAAAATGAGCTCCGCCATCAACTCCTCTTCCATCCTCCGGATGAAACCAAGTCCAAGTTTTTATCGTGTTTTCTGAATAAAGTTCTAAAATCGCCGGCGAATGCTGGGCTTCGGAAGTCTCTGTCGGAGGGGACAGCCGGAGACGTTCAATCACAACGGAGAACTATTCAACCTTGAAGGAAATTTTTTAAAAAAGCTGAAATGTTAAAATGAGGCAGGACGAGCCACCGCCAGGGCCTATCCTTGTCCCCAAACTAGTCTTCCCAGGCACCCTTCGTTGTTAACGGGTGCTGAACTGGCGAGCAATCGTTCCCTTCTCAGTTTCAGGAGCGCCCGGAAACAACGGCAGGTAAATCTTTGCCCCCGCCCCCCTCAAGCCAGTGTTCTCCATTGTGGGACACTGCAGCTGTGGTGGCCTTCAACTTAAATAGAGGTAGTCCTCGACTTAACGGCAGTCCGTTTAGTGAGTGTTCAAAGTGATTGTTCTGTCCCAGCCTACGTGAGTCCTTGTTAAACTCACAAGGAGAAACTCCTCTTCCAACAAGCAGGCTGGAACTGCAGGAAAAAAAACCAATCCCCTTTTATTATTCACAGACCTGAGTCAATGTCCAAGGCAAACAAACACAGTTCACAGAAACTCGATCTCCAACACAAACGTTTGCCTTTGGCAACCAGCACCTCCCACACCTTCCCTTTTAATATTCAGCCAAGGCATGGCTTCCTAACGCCTTCTTCTTTGTCTTTGGAGCCACCCCATTGCATTCCTCTGTCCTACTCGCTTCTCCTGCCTGTGCCTTCATGCATCTGTGATTTGTCCCAGCTGTTCTTCATCACTGTCCAACTCAGGCTCCCAGCACAGCTGTGTCTCAGCCTGAGTGCAGTAGAAGGGCCAGGCTACTCGTCCGACTGTAAGTCTTGGAGCTCCTCAGAGCCTTCCTCTGATGTCACTTTCGGCCCCTCCTCATCCTCCTCTGATTCCTCAGACTCAGCTGCCGGGTCCACTGGCTGGCGAGGAATCATAACAGTTATAGCTGTGCTGCGATCGTCATAAATGAGTCAGTTGCACAAGCGTCTAAATTTGGATCGCGCGACCGCAGGGATGCTGCCAGTTAAATTTTTCACGCTTAACGACCGTTGCAGCATCCCTGCGGTCACGAGATCCAAATTCAGACGCTTGTGCAACTGACTCATATTTATGACGGTCGCAGCGTCCCGGCGTTCCCGCGATCCCCCTTTTTGCGACCTTCAGACAAGCGACGGTCGACGGGAAAGCCAGATTCGCTTAACAACCGGGCGGCTGGTTTTAATGACCGTTGTGATGCCCTTAGCGCCCCTGCGCAGCGAGGACGGTCGCAAAACGGGGCCGAGCTCACGGAGGAACGGTCTCGCTTCGCAATGGAAAAGACGGGCTCAGCGGCGGTCGGAAGCGGAGGAGGGACTGTCGATTCCCATCCCTCACATCAGGGCAAACGTGGCGGAAGCTGAGGAACCGCCTGGCCAGAAACGTCGAGATTGCGCGTTGTCTCAAGTTAAGCAATTTTGAAAGGTGCGCGGGTGTCACTCACGGGCTGCTGCTGTCCCTGAGGTGCTCCTGAAAAGTGGGGATGAGGGTGCGGTGACGGGTGGCCTGGTATTCGCCCTGGTGGGGTGGGGGGGTGGAGGGAAAAGGGAGGAACACTTGAGTATCCGGCCTCAAGGAGACGCCATCTCACCCCGGGGTGGGGCAGTGTGGCGCAGTGGTTAAAGTACAGGGTTGCAGGCTCTGCCCCCCTGCCAGCAGTTCGATCCTGACTGGCTTGGGGTGGACTCAGCCTTCCCATCCTGAGGACTCAGGTTTGGGGGGGTGGGGAGAAGAGACTGACTCTGTAAACCGCTTAGAGGGGGCTGTGAAGCATTATGAAGCGGTGTATAAGTGTGTGTGCTTTTGCTCCTTTCCTTCCTTCCTTCCTTCCTTCCTGTTTTCATTTCCTTCCTTCCTTCTCATTTCCTTCTCTCCTTCCTTCCTTCCTCCTTTTCATTCCATCTCCTTTTTCTTTCTCCTTCCTTCGTTCCCTTCCTGCCTGTTTTTCCTTCTTTCTCGTTTCCTTCTTTCCTTCCTTCCTCTTTCTCATTCCATCTCCTTCTCGTTTCCTTTCCTTCCTCCTTCTCAATCCATCTCCTTCCTTCCCATTCCACTTCCTTCCTTCCTTCCCATTCCATTTCCTTCCTTCCTTCCTCCCCTTCCCTTCCCAATGGTTAGAATTCAGTATTGCAGGCTAACTCTGCCGACTGCCAGCAGTTCAGTCCTGACCCAGCCTTCCGAGGTCGGTAAAATGAGGACCCAGATTGTTTGGGGTGGGGCAATATGCTGACTCTTTAAGCAGCCAAGCTCAGAGAGCACCAAGGACCCCACAATCCTCCTCCTCCTCCTCTATTCCACAAACCCCTCCTCCCTTCTAGCACTGATGATGTTACCTAGTTGGGTCATGAAACGTCTGCAAGGAAACAACCAAGCTCAGAGAACACCAAGGACCTCACATTCTAAGGGGTGACCGTGGCTTTAACGCCAAGCAGTCCAGGCCTTCAGCAGGTAACCCAAGACTGTTTTGCCCCTCTGTTCATCCTCTTGGTCTTAATCCCGCCCGCTACCCAACCATCGCTCAGCTTCTTGCTCACCTGGAAAGGGGAGGTGCTTCTTTCGCTTTCTGAATCTGGCACCAGATCATCAGCTGCATCCACAGAAAGAAAAAACAACAACAAAAAGAGATTTATTTCCAAGTCTTTACCCAGGGTTAGAGTCTAAATCAGGGGTAGGCCATCTTGGCTCTTTTATGACTCGTGGACTTCAACTCCCAGAATTCCTGAGCCAGCCACGCTGAAGGGAAAGGGAGAGGTTTCCAAGCTGAGCCATGTTGGCTCAGGAATTCTGGGAGTTGAAGTCCACAAGTCATAAAAGAGCCATAGTTCCCTCACGCTGACTCAAGAATTCTGGGAGTTGAAGTCCACAAGTCATGAAGGGGCGAAGATTGCCTACCCCCGGTCTAATGAAGAGAAGAATGAGGGGTGACATGATAGCAGTGTTCCAGTATCTCAGGGGCTGCCCCAAAGAAGAGGGAGTCAAGCTATTCTCCAAAGCACCTGAAGGCAGGACAAGAAGCAACGGGTGGAAACTCACCAAGGAGAGAAGCAACCTGGAATTAAGGAGAAACTTCCTGACAGTGAGGACAATTAACCAGTGGAACAGCTGGCCACCAGAAATCAAGTGTTTTTCAACTGTAGCAACTTGAAAATGCGCGGACTTCAACTCCCAGAATTCCCCAGCCAGCAGGGGCGTCTTTTGAGAGCCGGCAGGAACGCCAAGGTCATTAACGCAGGGCGCTCGATGGAGAGGTGGACAGTCCCCGTAACAAGAAGTATTACTACAGGATGTGGTGAACACCCAGTGGGGTGGGGGGCGAGGGAATCCATTGTTTAATAAGCAAGCTTCCAAGTGGGAAAACCGGAGGTGGTTTTACTTCTTCGAGGCCGGGGGTCAGCAACCTCAAACACTCAAAGAGCCACTTGGACCCGTTTCCCAGAGAAAAGACTGGGAGCTGCAAATCTTGGGTGCATCCGTGCGCACGTGCGCATGAGAGGGAGGGAGCTTAATTGAAGAGTTTAATTAAAAAGAAATAGAAGCTGCTGTGCATGAGTTCTCTCTCTCTCTCCCTCTCTCTGATCTTCTGCTCACCTGGCAAGCTGGCTTCACGCTGTTCTCCGACAAGCTGACACACATTCTTATTGGGCTGGCTCTCTCCTGCCCTTGGTCTGCCAGTCCTATTCCCCCACTCAATTTGTGTGTGTGTGTGTGTGTGTGAGAGAGAGAGAGAGAGAGAGTGCTGCTGCTTCCTGCTTCTTGCTGAGACACAGCAAAGGCAGGAGCCCCACCCAATAAGCTTGTCAGCTTGTCTGAGAACAGTGTGAGGCCACTCTCTTTTTTACACACACACACACACACACAGAGAGAGCTGCTGCTTCCTGCTTCTTGCTGAGACGCAGCAAAGGCAGGACCCCCACCCAATAAGCTTGTCAGCTTGTTTGAGAACAGCGTGAGGCCACTCTCTTTTTTACACACACACACACACACACACACACACACACACACACACACACACACACACAGAGAGAGCTGCTGCTTCCTGCTTCTTGCTGAGACGCAGTATAGGCAGGAGCCCCGCCCAATAAGCTTGTCAGCTTGTCTGAGAACAGCGTGAGGCCACTCTCTTTTTTACACACACACACACAGAGAGAGGGAAGGGAATCACAAATGCCTCTGTCTCTGCAGATGGCGGAGGAGGCTGGGAGCCACAGGAGAAGGCTCAAAGAGCCAACTAACTGGTATTTATGACAGTGGCAGCGTCCCGGGGTCCTCTTTTGCAACCACCTGACAAGCAAAAAGTCAGGGGGGGAAAAGTCCGATTCATTTAACAACAGCGACTCAATGAACTGCAGTGACTCACTTAACAACCGCCTCAGGTGGGACTGGATTTGTACATTTGTGTTAACTCTGCAGGGTTGTTAAAGAGAGAGCTCTTGAAACCTACCCGTTTCCGAGTTGATTGAGGACGGTCTGTGCAATTCCCTGAAGATAACAAAGGGGATACGGTGAGTTATTTAAAAGCGGCAAGATTGGGAAAGAGAAATATAATCAAGGGAAGTCCTCGGCTTACGACCGTTGCTTCAGTGACCGTTCAAAGTTACAACGGCACTGAAAAAAGGGACTCCTTTTTCACACAACTGTTGCGGCATCCCCGCACGGTCACATGATCAAACGTCGGACACCCGGCAACCGACTCGTATTTATGACAGTTGCGGCGTCCTGGGGTGTGTGTGTGTGTCACACGATCCCCTTTTTGCGACCTTCTGATGAGCGACCTCAGTGGGGGAAGCTGGATCCTACTTAACAACCGTGTTACAGGTCGTCCTGAACTTACAACCGTTCCTCTGATGACTTTTTGAAGTTACAATACGGGACTTGTGATCCTTTTTCACAGCATCCTCCTGGTTACGAGATCAAAATCTGGCAAAATGACTCGTATTTGTGACGGCTGCAGCGTCCTGGTGTGTGTGTGTGTGTGATCCCCTTTTTGCAACCTCCCAACAAGACAAAATCAATGGGGAAAAATCAAATTCTCTCAACAACTGAGGGGGTTCCCTTAAGAACTGGGGCAAAAAAGGTCGCAAAAGGGGGAGAACACTTGTCTCGCTTAGCAACAGAGTTTGGTCGTAAGCAGAGGACCACCTGTGCAGGCTGATGCTTACCCTTCTGAGACGCAGGAAGGGGAATCCTCTCTTCGGCTCCTGCCCGGCTGTGGGGACAAAGGCGACGAGGGGGGGTCCTCATCCTCGCTCTGGCGTGGGGCGCTTGACGGATGGGGAGGGGTGGAGGGAGGCTCAGCACAGCCTAGGGGAGAAGGGAGCAGGTTAAGGGGCCACAGAAGACCCCCCACACCCCACCCTGCGGCTCCCGTAAAGACTTACCTGCAGGCTGGTATCCCACAGCGGCGAAGTACTGGTTTAGGATGGTGGCACTGGGTTGGGGAAGCTGGTGGGGGGTCTGGAGGCTGGCAGCCTCCAACAGCTGGGAAGAAAAGGGAGAGGGGAGGATTTTTTCCCCCCGTTTCCCCATCCAAGCCCACCCAGCCTGCCAAGGAAAGGATGCTGCGGATCCCGTCGGTTAAAGCACTCCAACAGGTGGAATATTCTGCCTCACCCCATCCAGAAGCTACAGCAGCCACCCCCTCTGGCCTTGAGAAAAGACGTTTGTGCAGCCTTGTGTGGGGAAGCCCAGAGTTGTGTGCGATCTGCGGGGCCGGTTTTTATTTTGGCTTGTATCTCGCCGTTACTATTTTAACCAATAACTCAAGGCGGTGAACGTATTTTAGCAGGCTTTTCTCCTCCTGTTTTCTGCAGGACAGCCACCCTGTGGGGTGGGTTGGGCTGAGAGGCAAGGACTGGCCTAACGTCACCCAGCTGGCTTTTGTGCCTAAGGTGGGACTAGAACTCACCGTCTCCTGGTGACTGGCCAAAAGTCATCCAGTCGGCTTTCATGCCTAAAGCGGGACTAGAACTCACTGTCTCCTGATGATTGGTTCAAAGTCACCCAGCTGGCTTTTGTGCCTAAGGCGGGACTAGAACTCACCGTCTCCTGGTGATTGGCCCAAAGACACCCAGCTGGCTTTCATGGCTAAGGCGGGACTAGAACTCACCGTTTCCTGGTGATTGGCCCAAAGTCAGCCAGCCGCCTTTCGTGCCTCAGGTGGGACTAGAACTCCCCGTCTCCTGGTGATTGGCCCAAAGTCACCCAGCCACCTTTCATGCCTAAGGCGGGACTAGAACTCACTGTCTCCTGCTGATTGGCCCAAAGTCACCCAGCTAGCTTTCATGGCTAAGGAGGCACTGGAATTCCCAGTCTCCTGGTGACCACCATGCTCCTAACTCAACAACTGGCAGCGATTCACTTAACAATGGAGGGAAGAAAGGTTGTAAAATGGGGCAAAACTGACCAAACCGATGTTTCCACTTAGCAACGTAAACGTGGGGCTCCATGGTGGCTGTGAGTTGAGGATGGCCTGTAATTCATCCAGCTGAGGCTGGTGGCTTGGGGGAAGGAGGGGAGGGCTGCAAACCCCACGTGCTCTACCACAAAGCAGCAATGCCACTGCCCAAAGGGCCGTTTCTTTTCCCTCTCCCCCCCATCAGCTATCTTTCCGGCTCTTTTCACACACACCCTTTTCGTACCTGCTGGATTTGGGGCTCTGGGAGAACGTGTTCCAGCTGGCAGAGGTAATCGCAGAAGAGTTCCTCCACCACTTTCACGAAGGCTTCCCCGTAATCCGTTTCCAGGTATTCCTAAAAGCCACAAAAAAATAAACAAACAACAGGACAGTCTTTACTGAATACAGAATACCAGAGTTGGAAGGGACCTTGGAGGTCATCTAGTCCGACCCCTGCTCAAGCAGGAGACCCTAGACCAGGGGTAGGCAACCTTGGCTCTTTTATGACTGGTGGACTTCAACTCCCAGAATTCCTCAGCCAGCGTGAGGGAACTAGGACCCTTTTATGACTCGTGGACTTCAACTCCCAGAATTCCAGAGCCAGCCTGGCTCAGCATGGCAACCTCTCCCTTTCCCCTCAGCGTGACTGGCTCAGGAATTCTGGGAGTTGAAGTCCACCAGTCATAAAAGAGCCAAGGTTGCCTACCCCTAATCTAGGGGTATTGTGCTTTATCCAGCCCTATAGATTCACCTCTCATCCTAGGGCAGGGGTAGGCAACCTTGGCTCTTTTATGACTCGTGGACTTCAACTCCCAGAATTCCTGAGCCAGCCTGGCTCAGCTTGGAAACCTCTCCATTTCCCCTCAGCATGGCTGGCTCAGGAATTCTGGGACTTGAAGTCCACCAATCATAAAAGAGCCAAGGCTGCCTACCCCAGTTCTAGACTAACTGGGCAAAAGTAAAAAGCTGAGGCTGCGAGTTTCTTAGCTGGGTGGTACTGGGCTGAAAAGAGCGGGAAGATAACACCTTTTTTTCTTTTTTCCGTTTCACTTCTATGTTGATAATCTCAGTAAAAATTAGACAGAGTGAGAGATGGAGGAGGAGGAGGACAGAGAGAGGGGGGAGAGGATGGGAGAGAGAAAAGAGATAGACAGGTAGGGAGACATAGAGACAGAGAGAGAGAGGAAGAGAAAGAGAAGAAAGCAAGAGATAGAGGGAAAGACAGACAGAGGAAGACAGAGATGGTATAGATAGAGAAATAGAGAAGTGATATAGATTAGATACAAATAGAAGACAGATGATAGATAGATAGATAGATAGATAGATAGATAGATAGATAGATAGATAGATGATGGATGGATGATAGGTGGGTGGGATAGATGGATGAATAGACGGATGGATGGGATGGATGTATGGATAAATGGATGGGTGAATAGATAGATGGATGGTTGGATGGATAGATTAGATAAGATAGGTGGATGGATGGATAGATTAGATAAGATAGATAAGATAGACAGATAGACAAAGGGGTTCAGCCTTCTGTAGATACCCTTGTCCTCCCAGCCTTACCTGCACATAGATTTCCCTCTCGATGCAGTCACCCAGCAACCTCAGTACCAGGATTCTGAAGTTTTCTTGGGCTGTTCGTACCATCTTCAGGTCCTGAGCCGTCTACGGATGAAAAATAAAATAAAATCAGAGCGAGCGAGCGAGCGAGGCAGACAGACGGAATCTCCTCAAGGCCAAGGGGAATGGAGCTGTCCACAAAGGCTAGGTAGGATCCTTGCTACAAAGACAAGGGGAGACTGACTGCTTTGGCGTGGCTGGGCGGAGTCTCATTCTCTGGAAAGTAGCTGTCCACAGCATCGTAGATTTTCCCCTGGGGCTGATCTTCCTGCAGCAGGTTCATGACAATCTGGGCAAAAAACGAGAAAGCAAGAGGGGGCCCGTGGAGGACGATTCTGCCTAAAAGCCACCCGAGGGTATTTTTTTTTTCCATTCATAAAATTAATAAAAGTCTCCAACTGGCTCTCCCCACGAAATTCAAAACGAAGGAAGTGCAATGCGTTTCCTCAATCTGGGCCAGTTTGAAGCCTGCTGGACTTCAACTCCCAGAATTCCCCAGCCAGCACAGCTGGCTGGGGAATTCTGGGAGTTGAAGTCCAGCAGGCTTCAAAATGGCCCAGATGGAGAAAGACCCCATTCGTTGCTTCCCAAACCTGGTTAAGTGACCCCCCCCAAACGGGGAACAAGTGGGTCACGGACCCATCCCTCCCTCCAGTGCCCATCATCCCCTTCCCCGAGGAGCTCTGCTCGGTCCAGATCGGGAAGCTCACCCACCTTGGCCTGCAGACCCAGGCGCAGCTTGGCCAGGTGCTGGAAGGGCACCAGCTCGGGCGCCGCCTCCGCCACGCTCTCCAGGAAGGTCAGGACGCGCGGGAAGTCCCAGAAGCGGCGGCCGCGGATTACGTGCCAGGCGGCCGCGGCCACCACCCGCAGGGAGACGGCGGTGGCGGCGGCGGCTGCTGCTTCCTCGGCCGCCCGCTCCTCGCCCATAGAACGACCGCCTCGCAGCGAGGCGGACGTCCGACTAAGAGCCGAGGCGGCCGGGAGCTGCTTCTGCCGGCTCGGGCCACGCCCACCCCGGAGGCACGCCCCCTCTACCGCCGGACCCATTCCCTATTGGCGCTCCGGCCCTGGCCCACCGAAACCACGCCTTCCTCGCGCGCGTCCCCCGCCCCCTTCAGTCCCGCCCAATCCCCGCCTTCTTCGCGCGCGAGTCTACGTTGCCGACGTCAAGCCTCTCAGCGCAGGCCCCGCCTTCTGAAGTCCCGCCCCCTAGGCCACTGTCCCGCCTTCTTTGCGCGCCAGCCTGGCCTTCAGCGCTCAATTTACCCCCGCCCCCAGCGGAGGCCCCGCCCCTACATCGCCCGCCGCAATCCTCTCTCTTCCTGTAAAGGCCGCACAGCCCCAGGCCACGCCTTTTTTTGCGCTCCACTCCGCGGAGGCCCCGCCCCTTCGTCTTCGCGCTGTGGCCCCTCCCCAGCCGAGGCCACGCCCCTTAGAGCGCCCCTTCCCTACACCGGGGCACGCCCCCGATCCCGCCTTCTTTGTTGTCCGACCACTCAGCGGAGGCCCCGCCCCTAAAGCACCCGCCTCTCCTGATCCCGCCTTCTTTGCGCTCCAGCTGCACCGGCGGCAGCTCCGCCCCCCCAAAATGGCGCCCGGCCTTCACCGTCCAACAGACCCCTTTTGACAGCTTTACGCCCAAAACGGGCTTAGGCCCTGCCGCTCCCCTCCCTCCTCCGGCCCGCTTCTCCGCACACGGAAGGGCGAGCTACTTTCGAATAGGCCTCCCCTTCGGGACTCATCCCGGACCTCCGCTCCTCCCGCAGCTAAACTTCCGCTCTGTTGCCATGGAGACCCGCCTCGCGTCCCTCCCTACCGGCATCGTCACTTCCGGTTTAGGGGGAACGGACTCTCCCGTCCTCCGCTTGAGCGTCAGCGGCCCCTGGTGGTTGTTTGAGGGATAGCACCAGCAGGGCTTCCACCTTGTTGGTCTCCTAGGCGCTGATGGGAGTTGTAGTCCCGCGTGTCTGAGGCTCATGGGATTTAGGGACTGAGTTCATCCCCAACGTGGCTCCTTTTTTTTCATTTTATTTGGTTTCTGTCTGCCTTCCATTCCAAAACCCAAGGCGCCTTTGCATGGCAGGCTCTCCCTGCAGTTCTCCCCATAACGACAATCCTGCGAGGCAGGCTCGGCGCCAAAATCCCTGGGATTTTCCAAAGCTAATCTCCCCCTCCCAGGCATACTGGCCTGCAAAGCTGGTTTGTTGCCCTAAATTGGCTTTGTGCAAGAAGGGGGACTCTACCACAAGGCCAGAGTGCTTATTTTTCAACCTTGGCTACTTTAAGTTAGGTGGACTTCAACTCCCAGAATGCCCCAGCCAGCACAGCTGGCTGGGGCATTCTGGGAGTTGAAGACCACCTAGCTTTAAAGTTGCCAAGGTTGAGAATTGGTGCGTCAAAGCCTTTTCATTTTCACATAGGCAATTAGGAGGAAACTGTAAGAGATCAAATAATATCAGAAAATTGTTTAACTGCTATTCTTTGTAACGTGGGCGATATGAACATACAAATCCATCTATTTTAATGAACAATGGCCAAATGGCTTTTAGTAGTAGGGGCTTTGCCATTATGTTGGAAATGTAAAAAGGAAAGGGGCACTTATTTTCATGTTTGGTGGTTATGTAAGGAAGCACAGAGTTTTTGGTGTATGGTTTGGGAGTGGGTAACAGAAATGGGTATACAAAATATTCAATATAAACCTGAGACACTGTTATTAGGAATTCTTGAAAATAATGTTAGCAAAGAGGATATGTTTTTATTTACTCAAGTGGTTACAGCGGCAAGAATTATATTCGCTCAAAATTGGAAAACTATGGTGATACCTAGTAAGGAAAGCGTAATTCATAAAATTATGCATTGCGCAGAATTAGATAGGTTAACTAGAAGACTTAAAAATCAGGATAAAACGGTTTTTTACCAAATTTGGAACAAATTTTACAGATGGCGGGGGGAAAAGCAGGGAAGTTATTGTACTGAGATAATTCAAGATTGTGATTAAAGTGATGTTATTGTATAGGTTTTTCTCATTAGTAATTTATGGTAATAGTGAAATGAGATATATGTCAAATCTGTGTTACCATGTTCAATGTTTTTAATTTTTTGCTTTCAATAAAAAAATTTTTTTAAAAAAAAGAAGTATGGGCTTTGACACAGGCAGAATCATTACTTTGAAATCTGTCGGTTCTGTGGGAAGCTAGAAGTAACCGCAAGCAGGAGGAAATATAAAAACAAAGAGAAGGCTCATGTCAGCAACATGTCATGGTTAAACAGGCATATGAAATATAAGGGTTTTTTCCTGGGAGGGAATGAACTGAAATATATTCTGTTTAGGCGATTCGGATTAGCAGGTGGGCTGTTGAATTCGATAGGGGTGGTGGGGTGGGGACCAGCTTCGTGAGAGGATGTAAATATGTGCTTTTAAAAACTGTGTGTGTGGCTTAATCTCCTACGTGAGTTTAAGACCACCAGCTTTTGCCAAAGCTTTATTTCAATAAAACTCCGTTCCTGGAATCCCAAATGAGTTTGTTTGTCTTTGGAAACCTGAGCCGCGTTCCAAATGAAACCTTTTGAAAGGATCTGAGTAGGATCCGCCAGGTGGGTGACCCAGGGCCAGTCACCTTCTCCCAGCCCTAAGAAGGAGGCAATGGCAACCCAATTCTCGGGGGGAAAAAACCTGGCCAGCAAAAACCAGGATTCAATCAGATTCTGCTTGGAGATTCCTTCCACCTGGTCTCTCCTCTTCCCAGGGCTGGTGACCTTTGCGTGCAGGAGAAATCTAGAACACATCACCTCAAATCTATGGCGCTCGATTGCTTTGAGCACCGTATTTCTTGTTAGGGTGGTTTTATACATTTTTGGGACTGTGTTTCGTGTTCATTGTAAGCTGCCCAGGGTCAGGAAATGTGAGCTGGGCAGCTATAAAAACTGAAGCAATAAATTAAGTCGAACTGAAGCAATAAATTAAGTCGAACCCTTTTTAAAGTCCGCCAAGTTGGCAATTTTCTCCCGATTCTGGAGATCCGAAGGACACTTTGTACCGTGGGAAAAAATTCTTTTTTTTTTGTCTTATTCACCCCCTTTCACCTACACTGGACAATTTTATTTTATTTTCAGATGGGGCAGCTGTTTCTGGGCCTTTGGATTGTACGTAGAAAAACAAAACATCCCAGCTGAGGCTGTGAGCAAGAGAAAATTTCATTTGCCAGGGCCTCGAACAAAAATTCAATTCAACACGCAAGATTGCTCTCCTATAAGACATCTAATAATTATTACATATACAAGTTGTCCTCAATTTATGAACACAAATGAGCCTAAAATGTATGTTGCTAAGCGAGACATTTGTTAAGTGAGTTTTGCCCCATTTTACGATCTTTCTTGCCACAGTTGTTAAGTGAATCACTGCAGTTGAATGGGATGGGATGGGATGGGATGGAATGGAATGGAATGGAATGGAATAGAATAGAATAGAATAGAATAGAATAGAATAGAATAGAATATAGAATAATAAAGAATAGAATAGAATAGAATAGAATAGAATAGAATAGAATAGAATAGAATAGAATAGAATAGAATAGAATAGAACAATATATGGAATGGAATAGAAAATAGAGTAGAATAATAAAGAGTAGAATAGAATAGAATAGAATAGAATAGAATAGAATAGAATAGAATAGAATATATGGAATGGAATAGAAAATAGAATAAAATAATAAAGAATAGAATAGAATAGAATAGAATAGAATAGAATAGAATAGAATAGAATAGAATATATGGAATGGAATAGAAAATAGAATAGAATAATAAATAGAGTAGAGTAGAGTAGAGTAGAGTAGAGTAGAGTAGAGTAGAGTAGAGTAGAATAGAATAGAATAGAATAGAATAGAATAGAAAATAGAATAGAATAATAAAGAGTAGAATAGAATAAAATAAAATAGAATAGAATAGGAGCTGGAAGGGACCTTGGAGGTCTTCTAGTCCAGCCCCCTGCTCAAGCATTTCAGACAAATGGTTGTATGATTATATGAGTTTGGTATATATATATTTCCATTAAATTGTGTCTCCAGTTCTTGAAGACGGCCCGGATAAGTCCCTGCAGTTTTCTTGGGCAAGATTTCTCAGAAATGGCTATTAGTTCAGTGATCATAAAAATAGGGAAGTAGAAGTTAGACATTTACAGGCAACGTCTTGCGAAAGACGGAACAGCTTTAACAAAGAGTTGCACAAAAGTTGTGGTTCGGTAGCCCAGCAACTCCAGGGCCATTCCGATAAAATGCAGCCGGGATTCTGACTCGCCATTCTGAATTTTATAGTGCGGCAAAGAATGAAAAGTGGCCGGAATGACAAGTGAAAAGTTCGGATGGAGCCTCTTTGACGCGTGTTTCCAGAAACTGGGACTTTCTTTTATTAATGTGTTCTAATTCTTTGAAGTCACAAAGCAAAGCAAGCTCCCCACAGAATATAGAGTCTGATTAAAAACTGGCTAAAAACTTGCCAAAGTTACAGGGAGTCCTCAACTTACGACGTCCATCTAACCCAAAATTTCCCTTGCTCAGCAATACCGTTTGGTGAATTTTGCCCCGTTCTTGCTCCAGTTGGTAAGGGAATCGCTGCAGTTGTTAAGCTAGTAACAACGGTCGTTAAGCGAGTCTGGCTTACTCCTTGACTTGGCGTGTCAGAAGGTTGCCAAAAGAGAATCACGCAACCCCAGGACTCCTCAACCGTCACAAATATGAGTCAGGTTTGCCAAGTGTATGAAATTTGATCACATGACCACGGGGAGGCCGCAATGATCGTACATGTGAAAAACGGTCACAAGTCACTTTTTTCGGCACCGTCGTAACTCTGAACAGTCACTAAACAAATGACTGTAAGTCAAGGACTTGTTTCTGACACTTGCCAAAGCCCCATTAAAAAACACGACAGTTGATTTTAAACGTCACACTGCCCTCTTAAGCAGGCTGGGCTGAAAACCCCTGCCGGAAAAATTCTGGAAGTTGAAGTAACCATGCCATCATTAACTTTGAACGGTCGCTGAATGAATTGTTATGAGTTGAGGACTACCTGGGCATAGATTTGAACTCTAGGACAGAGGTCTCCAACCTTTCTCAGTTGGCGGACCGGAGGGGGAAGCATTTTCTGCGAACGCTGGCATACGGAAGCGGGAAGGCGAGCCCGCGCGACACAAACAGGGCAGTGGTAGCACCTGGGTAGCACACCCACTCGCACCACCCCGTTTTTGCTGCATGGACACTAGTACCGTCCTGTTTTTGCCCCGTTTGCATAGCCGCAGTCGCGCTAGCATGAGTGGGGGCGAGTGTGCACACACATGTGCACACACTGGTCAGCCTGTTCCGCAGACTGGTGACCAGCAGGCTACGGACCGATAGTGGGCCACGGACCGCAGGTAGGAGACCCCTGCGTTAGTAACCTGCAAACTCCTTTATATCTCATTACAGTGTGAAAGCCACGCTTTCTGAATATGAGGGTGAGCATTAACTAGCTCAGGGGTAGGCAACCTTGGCTGTTTTATGACTCGTGGACTTCAACTCCCAGAATTCCTGAGCCAGCATGGCTCAGCTTGGAAACCTCTCCCTTTCCCCTCAGCATGGCTGGCTCAGGAATTCTGGGAGTTGAAGTCCACAAGTCATAAAAGAGCCAAGGTTGCCTACCCCTGAGCTAGACCCTTTCAGATGTATGGTGGCTACAAGCCTCTTTGGCAGGTGTCTTCAAACTTGGCTCTTTTATGACTCGTGGACTTCAACTCCCAGAATTCCTGAGCCAGCACGGCTCAGCTTGGAAACCTCTCCCTTTCCCCTCAGCGTGGCTGGCTCAGGAATTCTGGGAGTTGAAGTCCACCAGTCATAAAAGAGCCAAGGTTGCCTACCCCTGAACTAGATCATACTAAGGATGTCGTGGGATGCTATGAAGTGTTACACGGCACATGTAATGTTATGGAGCACATGTGTGCTTCATCAGAGACACATCAAAGGATGCTGACTAATGATGAAAGAATTCATTCTAAACTCAATATGTTTCAACTGCATATAAAGTGATTTTCTAGGTTTCTATCCCTAAGGTGCCTCTCCCTGCTTATGCATAAACACAGGCGGTCCTCATTTTACGACCACAATGGAGCCCCAATATTTTGTTGCTAAGCGAGACGGCTGTTAGGTGAATCTCGCCCCACTTTACGACTTTTCTTGCCACAGTTGTGAAGTGAATCACTGCTAACATAGTTGTTAAATGAATCTGGCTTCCCCCATCAACTTCACTTGTCGGAAGTCCGCAAAAGTGGATCACATGACCCCCCCGGGACACGGCGACCGTCATAAATATAAGTCAGTTGCCGTGCATCTGAATTTTGATCTCGTCGCTGAGGAGGCTCCAACAGTCATTAAGTGTGAAAAACGGTCACAAGTTCCTTTTTTTCAGCGCCGTTGTAACTTTGAACGGTCCCTAAATGAATTGCTGTAAATCGAGGACGGCCTGTCAAAAGATATTAATCTACTTTTACAGCTTGGATCCTGTTTTAGCACGCTGGGCTAAAATAATCTTGCCAGCCTTTGCGGCTGACAATTTCAAGATTTTGGTCGACAGGCGACCCACGAATTTCACAGCTTAGCGACAATTCAGAATGAATTAAAAACATAAAAGCACGCCGTTATTTAAAAAGCACGCAAAGAGTTAAAAACCATTTATTTTCAAATAAATACCTATATTAGTACGAACACACAAAAGATACAGCTTTTTTTCTTTCTTTTTTTTTTTTTGCTTCATTCGTTTTCCATGTAGGTTAAATGCAGTACGACAGAAACATAATTAAGGATTAAGGCTCTGGCTAGTAATTAAAAACCGTCTCCACTCCGCTTTAGGGTTACATGATCAGCTCTCTGGACATTTTTAATTTGCATATATTTTAAGTGCGTGAATGGCAGAAGCATGGCTAGCCAAACTTACGTTGCATTAATCTTCCTCAGCAATCTGATTTCGACTTACTTCCCCCTTAAATACACTTCCAGGACAAATCCTGGTAAAAAAAGAAAGCTAATAAAACCCCAACCTCCCCCCCACCCCTGAATCTGTCCAAATAAAGAGAGGGGGGGGGAACATGGAGGGAAAATGCGTAGACAATTCCTTTGGCTCAAGTGAGAAGACCCCCGCTCATCTTAGGAGGAATAATAATTTGAAAAGCAAATTTATCCCTTCTCCATTGGAAGCTCTCCAGAACTTCTCCATTCGTGGGAAGCAAGCGTGCAGACGTGAAGATTGGTGGCGCGTTTAAGAAGGAAACAAGAATCGCGGTGAAAAATAAGTGTCGAGTTATAAACATTGCTTGCACGGGGTGGGTGGGTCGTGCCCCTGGGGCAGTGGGGAGGGGGAGAGTGAAGGGGGTCCCAGAGCTGGAGGGGCAGCCGAGTCCTCGACCCCCCCCATCTCAGACGAATGATGTGGAAGAGGGAAGTTGCCTCAATTGCACCCTACAAATTGCAATTCGGTTGGGTGATTATTCACAGAAGACAATAATAGGCAGGAAAAATGGGGGAGAAGAACGAAAGCGAAGGAAAGAGAAATCGGTGGGTGAAGAAGTGGAGAGGTTTCCTGAAGGTCACCACCGGGAGAAACATTTCGCCGGCCTCGTGGGGCTTGGCGCACCCCACTGTGGTTCTGTGGCTCGGGCAGGGACCCCCCTCTCTTTGCCAGCTGGTTCGGCTGTGCTGTCACGTCGCACTCGGCGCCCGCGGCTAAGAGCTGGCTCACACGGGTCGCCCCGTGGCCCCTGGCCTGGAGGTGGCAGCTGCCCCGTGAGCATTGGGGGCTCGTCCGGGATTGGGCTGGCGGCTGGGGGTAGCCCGTGCATTTGTGTTGGCATTTGTGTTGGTGTTGGCATTGGCTGGGGTGTTGTGGTTGGCAGGCTGCCTTCCAGGGGAGGATCGAGCAGCTGCCGGGGAGCCTCGGACGTGGGCATGCGAGCCTCTGCCCCGGGCAGGAGAACCCCGGGCAGGTGCCGGAGAGGCTGATGGGCCCGGCGGAGGGCTCTGGGCCACGTCGATAGTCAGCACGCCGTGGACCTGGGAGAGCTGTGGGCTGTCCAGGCTGGCAGCCAACTGGCGACGTCCGGCACGGAGCGGGGTGAAGTTCTGGCAGAGTCGCACTGTTTGATGCGGACCGATATCCCTGCAACGTGAAAAGAAGAGATTGTGGGTCATGTTTGCCAACCCCACTCAGGAAAAAGGATGCACAGCGAGTCCTTGACTAACAACCATTTACTTAGTGACTGTTTGAAGTTACTACGGCCCGGAAAAAAAGTGACTTAAATCAGTGTTTCTCAATCCTGGCAACTTTAAGATGTGCGGACTTCAACTTCCAGAATTCCTTGCTGGCTGAGGAATTCTGGGAGTTGAAGTCCACAAGTCATAAAAAGGCCAAGTTTGAAGACCCCTGCTTGTGGACTTCAACTCCCAGAATTCCCCAGCCAGGCACGCTGGCTGAGGAATTCTGGGAGTTGAAGTCCACAAGTCATAAAAAGGCCAAGTTTAAAGACCCCTGTCTTAGACCATCCTTCCCCTGAAAATTGCATCTTCCAAATATTTTTTCACACTTTGATAGTATGCCTGATCACTTGGCCAGGTAACAAGACCCTTTGGAAGACAAAATAATTCCTACTTCTTTCTTAAAATTTTTGATTGCTAAGATCTGTCGTTTTCAAAAACACCACGTGTCAGATGGACGGGGCAATAAAATATTATTTTGGTGGTCCCGAATTTGGGCTGAAAGGTGAAGAAACATCTTCCTCAGAGGTGTCTATTTAAGGGGCTGCCACAAAGAAGGAGAGAAGCAACCTAGAACTAAGGAGAAGTTTCCTGACAGTGAGAACAAGTAACCAGTGGAACGACTTGCCACTGGAAATTGTGGGTGCTCCAAAACTCTCTAAGAAGAGATTAGACAAGTGACTGGAGTATCACTTGTCTGAAATGGTACAGGGTTTCCTTCCTGAGCAGGGGGTTGGACTAGAAGACCTCCAAGATCCCTTCCAGCTCTGTTCTTCCATTCTGTGTCTTCTGAGAATACCAGATAATAGGAAGAGCGAAAACACCACAATAAGCAGCTTTCTACAGGTCTACTCACCCGACGGTCATCGTGTTGGGAGTCGAAAGTCCGGAACCTTCCATGTGGAAGGTGGCGTGGGTCAAGGTCACAGGAAGAGGGTTCTTGAAGACGATCTGGACTTGGGTTTCTTGTCCAACAATGGCCGGACCCAGCAGCTGCGGAGGAGAGAGGAAGAGGATGAGAGACGAGGAAGGATTAACGGCACTAAGTGGTTGCGAATGGATCCTCAGGGGAACGTAAAAAGAAAATACAGGTAGTATTTTAGTCTTATGGCAATTCAGGGAACGTTAAAAGTCACAACCGCGCTGAAAAAAGGGGTGTACGCCTTATGAGCGGTCCCCGCACTTTCAACCATGGCAGAATCCCCATGGTCACGGGATCAAAATTCAGACGCTTGACAACTGGCATGTACTTATGCCAGTTGCAGCGTCCCAGTGTCAAGTGACCTTCCCAGCCGGTTTCCGACGAGCAAAGTCAACGGGGGAAGCCAGATTCCTTTAAGAACTGCATGACTCAGCAACTGCACTGATTCGTTGCAAAAGGTCGCAAAATTCGCTGTGACTCGCTAAAACTCTGTCTTGTTTAGCAACAGAAATTCTGGCCCCTATTGTGGTTGTAGGTTGAGCACCAGTGGTGGGGTTTAGCCGGTTTGCACCGGTTTGGTAGAACCGGTAGCTAAATTTTGCTGAGTTTAGAGAACCGGCTGAATGCACGCTGCTTCCGGAAGTCCGTTCTAGGCCTCGGAGTCCTGGAGGAAGCCTCCCAGGCTAGAACGATCCGCCGGAAGTGTGTGGATGCCACTTCCGGAAGTCCGTTCTAGGCCTCGGAAGCCTGGAGGAGGCCTCCCAGACCTAGAACGGCCCACCGGAAGTACGTGGATACCACTTCCAGAAGTCCGTTCTAGGCCTCGGAGGCCCAGGCCTGCATCCAATCAGAGAACCGGTTGTTCAGATGTTTGAATTCCACCACTGTTGAGGACCACTGCATTGCCTACAGGCAGTCTTTGACTTACAACAATTCATTTAGTGACCATTCACCAACGGCACTGAAAAATGTGACTTATGACCATTTTTCAGTTATGACCCTTGCAGCATCTCCCATGGTCATGTGATCAAAATCCAGATGCTTGGTAGCTCCAAATTTGGGGACAGCTGCAAAAATACATTTCTCTAACCAACATTTCCTGAGAATCCTAGTTTGTCGGACATAGCTGGTGAAAGCAGCCAAGAGTCCGTGTCGTACCGTCAGGGTGAGGTCCGGGGTGCGAAGACGGAAAGTGTGCTCCTTCGCAATGACCTGTCCGGTTTCGGCTACTTTCCCAGAAATGCTGAGCTTCATGGCTCCTTGGTCCACCAGATGGGCCTTGTACTCGGGATAGGAGATGACCATCGGAACTGGTTGAGCTGCGAGAAGGAAGGCGGACAAATTTGGGGTCATGTAGGGGGAGACCCTCAGGATACACAAATACCAAGTTTTCCTTTTTCTTATTTCGCATAACCTGTTCCGCATCGCAGCACCTTTCTCCTTGTTTATATATATATAGCAACATAGCTCAAACAAAAAGCACCATCACCATGTGCTTTACTGCTCAACTATTTTAACAAAGAACATATATACCACAAATCCAAATTTGTAAACACTGCCATCTGCTGGCTGAATACTACTCAAGTTGCTGCATAGAAATACATTCCAACAAAGGAATTCCAATACCCTCGGGTCCCTCCCAGTTTTGGCACAAGATGCCGTGCCTCAGGCAGCCGCAGATGGTTACCTCCTCCTGCAGGAATCTGGACCTGCCGCTGCTCTTGTTTAAAATTGCTGCCGGTGACTCCTGTATAATACATGACTGCCACAAAGAGGTTGAGAGAGACGTTGCGAGGCATCGAACTCCGGTTCTTCAGGATGACCCTCAAGGAGATGTCCTGTCCGGTGTAGGCCTCTTGAGTGTCGACCGTCACCGAGATGTCTTCTCCCCACTCCTTGTTGGTGTAGATGTGGGCCTTGGTGCCGTGCTTGGCAGCGGTTTCCACTGCTTTGCGCTCCGCTTCCGTTCCTGCAGAGAGAAAGAATGGAGAATTCAAAAAGGGGTCCCTCGGATCAAAGAGAGATACGAAGAAGACCTTGATGAAATACAGGCAGTCCTCGACTTACAACAGTTCATTTAGTGACCGTTCGAAGTGACAATGGCACTGAAAAAAGTGACCCAGGACTGTTTTTCACACTTACGACTGTTGCAGCATCCCCCCCAGTCACATGTTCAAAATTCAACTGGTTCATATTTACGACGGTTGCAATGTCCTGGAGTCACGTGATCCCCTTTTGCGAGCTTCTGACAAGCAAATCAATGGGGAAGTCAGATTCACTTAACAACCTTGTTACTAACTTAACAGAGGCAACGGTTCACTTAACATCTGTCATAAAATGGGGCAAAACTCACTTAACAAATGTTTCACTTAGCAACATAAGCAACATGATCATCTCTGAAGTTATCTGAAATCCCAAGCTCCTGATGGAAATGCATACAGAACAGAAACAAATCTTCCTTCTTGTATCAAAATAAAACCAGAAAATAGGATTTGCTCCTTTCTTTTCAAAAAGTCCACCCCCAAAATAGAACTCCAGATTTCCTTGCTTTACAGGTAGTCCTCGACTTACGACCACAATTGAACCCCAGATTTATGTTGCCAAGCGAGACATTTGCTAATTTTATTTTACGAGTGAGTGAATCACCGCAGTTGTTAAATTAGTGACACGGTCGTTAAGCGAAATCCGGCTTCCCCCGTCGACTTTGCTTGTCAGAAGCTCGCAAAAGGGGATCGCATGACCACCCGCCCCCGGGACACTGCGACCGTCATAAATACGAGTCAGTTGCCAGCATCTGAATTTTGATCACATGACCATGGTCGAAAGTGTGAAAAACAGCGATAACGTACTTTTTTTCCCAGTACCGTTGATAACATCAAGCGGTCACTGAACGAATGGTTGCAAGTTAAGGAATAACTGTATTTATGTCGCCGCTGTCCCAATCCTTCCCCGCTCAGCGTTGTCGTACCTTCGGGATGCTTATAAATGTTCGTGATGTCTTGGCGCTGATGGGATCCCACGGCTTTGGTGCTGATGAGATGCCCGATGGCTTTTTCTTCTACGTAGACGATCTTGAAGGTGCCGTCTCCCTGGCGTTGCCAATACACCTTGTCGCTGTTCACCTGAGGAGACAAATTGTCACTCATCCGTCCTCTTGCCAATTTTCTCCCCGCTGTGCCTGAAGGACCGATTTCGACTAAGCCTCCCGGGATCTGTCCGTCGCTAAAAGAAGGACCCACCTCGGCAAAGCAAAAGGAAGCGTCGTATTTCATGTACACCAGACCGTTCTTGATGGCCTCCACGGAGCAGGGCCCACAGCAGAAGATCCCTGTGGGAAGACATGGAAGGTGACGCGAGGAAGGAAAGGTAGAAGAGGGACCGATTCCTCCACCCAGCATCACGCTTCCAATCTGGAACCTTCTCCGGGGTTCCAAATTTGGAGATCCCATCGTCAAGCTTGAAGCATGCACATGATATTGCCAACATGAGGAGAGGGGGAAATGGAATGCAAGCTCCGGACAACAAAAAGTCAAGTTGTGGGAACCAAGGACGTTTCAGCAGATGTTTGCCAATCTAGAGAGACACTTTCTCATAACGGTATTTTGACACTTGATTGGACAATGTGACCTGCACTAAAAAGGGAATGGAGGGTTCTATATTTTAATTATAGTGGTTTGCGCGGGAATTAACCAGAGCTGGTTTCGCTTTCGTTCGTGCCAAAAGGATGTACTCAATAAAGTTTTGCACTGAGATTGGATCATCTCGGCGGCGTTTACTCAGTTGGGTTCGTCCGTCGGAACCTTGACACCCATTTCATAGGAGTTCTGTTTCACCCCCCCAAACTTACCACTGCTGGATTCCTGGGGGGTTGCATCCACCACCTGCCACCCATCGAAACCTGAAGGCAGATCCGGTCGCTTCATCCAACAGTCGTTCCACACGTGGAAATTCCTGCAAAGAGGAAATTCAAGCGTTCAGTGTGTAACAGAAGAACAGAGTTGGAAGGGACCTTGGAGGTCTTCTAGTCCAACCCCTTGCTCAAGCAAGAGACCCTAGGCCATTTCAGACAAATAGCAGTCCAGTCTCTTCTTCAAAACCTCCAGGGATGGAGCATTCACAACTTCCTGGTGGCAAGTTGTTCCACCGGTTAATTGTTCTCACTGTCAGGAAATTTCTCCTTAGTTCCAGGTTGCTTCTCTCCTTGATTAGTTCCCACCCATTGCTTCTTGTCCTGCCTTCAGGGGCTTTGGAGAACAGGTGGGCCCTTTTATCTGTGGAGATTCTCAGTTATCCAGGTCTCGGTAGTCCCAAAAGTGCTTTTTCAAAAGTTGCAACTGGACTTCCTCTGTTTTTCCTGGAGGATGTTTCGCTTCTTGTCCAAGAAGCTTCTTGTGTTCTGACTGAATAAGTCAGAACCGAAGAAGCTTCTTAGATCAGAAGGGAAACATCTTCAAGGAAAAACAAGAAAGTCCAGCTACCATTTGAAAAAGCACCTTTGGGACGGGTGGACCCCCTCTTCTTTGTGGTAGCTCCTCAAATATTGGAAGACTGCTATCATGTCCCCCCTCGTCCTTCTCTTCATTAAACCAGACATCCCCAATTCCTGCCACCGTTCTTCGTAGGTTTTTGCCTCCGGTCCCCTGATCCTCTTTGTTGCTCTTCTCTGCACTCTTTCCAGAGTCTCAACATCTTTTGGCGACCAAGATTTGTTTAGCCGTGGATGCTTCTTGATCTCAAGAAGAACACTGATCAAGTTGAAGCCCAGCTAACTGGAGACTAACTTATTGTTGTTCTTCTCTGCACACTTGTCCTCATCCACATCACCCCAACGCCCATGGAGGAGGAGGAGGAGGAGGAGGTGGTGGTCCCAAGTCCTCACCAGACAGAGTCAGCATTCAGGTGCTCCAGGGGCTTCATATTCTCATCAAAGTAGATGTCCATGGTGAGGCTGACATCCGTGTCGTGCGCCGAGTTGTAATTGGTGACAGTCCGGGTGGCAATGCCCAGGCACCGCAGGACTGGGGAGGGAAAGGGACAGAGAGGAAGGGTATCAGCAGAGAGGCCTAGTGGTTGCACTCTACCGGTATCCCCCCAAATTGGGGGGACTTTTCCAATGGGATGCTTGCTCTCTTGAACTTAGAGCAAAACGTGTCCATGTGCGGGGTTCATTGGCCATCGAGAAATTATGAAGTCTCGACGGCAATTCAAAGGTATTATTCTGTTATTATTATTCTCCTTTTTTCTCACCTACAGGGCCGATTGGATTAAAAGATTAAAAGAAAAAGTCTGGGGCCAGGTTATAGTAGAATAACAAAATGGGGAGGGACCTTGGAGGTCACCTAGTCCAACCCCCTGCTCAGGCAGGGAACTCTATACCATTTCAGACCAATGGCTCTCCAGTCTCTTCTTAAAAAGGGGGAGGAGGAGGAGGAGGAGGAATAACAGAATAGGGATCGTGGAGGTCTTCTAGACCGACCCCTGTAAAGTAGGAGACCCTGTAACATTTCAGACAAATGTACTCCAATGTCTTCTTAAACAGAGGAGGAGGAGGAGGAGGAGGAGGAGGAGGAATAATAGAATAGCAGTTGGAAGGGACTTCGGAGGTCTTCTAGCCCAACCCCCTGCTCAAGCAGGTGACCCTTGACCAGGGCTAGGCGACCTTGGCTCTTTTATGACTCGTGGACTTCAACTCCCAGAATTCCAATCTCTTTTTAAAAACCTCCAGGGAGGGAGGGCCCACAACCTCACAATCTAGAACAGCCCCCCCCACACACACACCCTCCTTGATACTCTCGTTTCTTTTCTCGTGACCCACCACCCTCCCCACGTCGACCGCGAACAGCAGCCACCTGAGGTCACGACGCCGGCAAACACCCAGCACTGCCCGTAGAGCACGGGGTATCCGGTACGGAGATACTTCAGCAGGATGTCCCGGCTGCCCACCCAGGCCGAAGGATTCGTGCCGCGGGAGTAATCCCCGGTCCAGTTCCCGACCAGTACGCCGTTGTCGTCCAGAGAGTTCACCTGGGAAGGAAACAACACAACGTCGTCATGGATCGAAACAGGGCCTACGGCAGGGATGTCACGACGGCACTGAAAAAAATGACTTATGGCTGGTCCTCGCACTTGTGACTGTTGCAAGATCAGATTATGCATATTTGAGCATCAGGACATATTTACAACGGTTGCAACATCCAAGAGTCATGTGATCCCCTGAAATGGTATAGGTTCTCCTGCTTGAGCAGGGGGCTGGACTAGAAGACCTCCAAGGTCCCTTCTATTCTATTCTATTCTATTCTATTCTATTCTATTCTATTCTATATTTTCTATTCCATTCCATATTTTCCATTCCATTCCATTCCATTCCTTATTTCTATTCTATTCTATTCTATTCTATTCTATTCTATTCTATTCTATTCTATTCTATTCTATTCTATTCTATTCTATATTTTCTATTCCATTCCATATTTTCCATTCAATTCAATTCCTTATTTCTATTCTATTCTATTCTATTCTATTCTATTCTATTCTATTCTATTCCAATTTATGTCCTTCCCAAGCAGCTTCTGATAAGCAAAGCCGGATTCGTTTAATGACCGCCTGTTTCATTTAACAGCTGCAGCGATTCGCTTAACGATTACAGGAAAAGGGTCGTAAAACCAAGCACAACTCACTTAACAACCAAATTTCTGCTCTCAATTCTGGTTATAAGTGGAAGACTAGCTGTAGATAAAAAAAAAAAAAAACATCGCTTGGCCTAAAATATCTGAGATTCTTCTCAAGGTTTGCTCCCTTGCCTGGCCTGAATTTCTGTTTTTACTGCGCCTGTATAACTCTTACTGTGTAGTTTCCTCAAGAGATCATTCCTGTGGCTCGTTGTGGTTTCTCAAGTTTTGTGACCCTTTCAGGTTTATTACGGCACACATTTTTTTTTGTGTGGATTGCGGTGAGAAGAATGACCTCGGGGCCAAGCCACTGCTGAGCAAGCAAAGGAACCGGAAAAAGCAGAGGAGCTGAGTGGAAATTAAACACAAGTAGTAGGAATGAGATACACCCCGTTGTGATAATTCCCAACGCATCATGGCCTCTTTGAAGAATATTGTGTGTGATTCAGGCCCGGTGAAGCAGCAATCCGGCCTTACGATAACAAAAGGGCTCTGATTAACCGTCGGGAACCGAAGCAATTATCCTGTTCCCCAATACTGCAAGAGAGGCACCCCAATTATGGCTAAAGACACAGACAGGCCTTGGCTTGACCTGTGTGATTTCCTTCAACAGAAACAGGCCAATCCAACCGGCTGTACCAGACCTGCCTCAATTAATTCACAGATTTGCTAATTCATCAGGTTGAAAGGCTGCCCCACGTTCCCGCAATTGACTTTTATTAAGTGTACAAATCCAGAAAAACGAGTTTTTTGTGGTATATTTTGTTCCCCCTGGACTATTTATTTTTTTATATACTTAATAAGTGTACAAATCCAGAAAAACGAGGCTTTTGTGGTATATTTTGTTCCCACTGGATTATTTTTTTTTATTAAAATAAAATAAAATAGACGTATTAACAAATCTGTGCAAACAGAACAGCTCGGTAAAAAACAGAAAGCCGAGGTGAGGGAGGGTGTTAATTCCTTCTTTGGAGACAGGCAGTCCTCGGTTTACGACTGCAGTTTTGGCTGCTAAGCGAGACAGTTCTTAAGTGAGCTTGACGACCATCCCTGCCACGGTTTTTGAGGGAATCGCTGCGGTTTCTAAATTAGCCACACGGTCGTTAAATGAATCTGACTGTGCTTGTCAGAAGGTCACAACAGGGGATCCTCCCGGGGGACGCTGCAACCGTCATAAGTACGAGTCAGTGGCCAAGCCTCTGAATTTTGATCACGTGACCGTGAGGACGCTGAAACGGTTGTTAAGTGTCAAAAACGGTCATTTTTCAGTGCCGTTGTAACTTCGAAAAGTCGGTTGTAAGTCAAGGACCATGTGTGTATCCAAAGTTTGCGTTCTAGGCAAATTGCGGTGTGAGATTTTTATTTTTCACACTTATGAGCGTTGCAGCCTTCCCACGGTCACGTGATCAAAATTCAGATGTTTGGCAACTCACTCGTCTTTAAGACGGTCGCAGTGTGATCACATGATCCTCTTTTGCGACCCTCGGACAAGCACGGTGTTGCTAACGTATCAGCTGTGGCGATTCACTTAACAACGGTGGCAAGAACGGTCGTAAAGCGGGGCAAAACTCACAGCAAGGGTCTTGCTTAGCAACGGAAATTTTGGGCTCCACTGTTGCTAAGTCGCGGCTGCACTTGGATTTAGTTAGCTAGTTTAATGCCCAAGGAGAAGAGAGAAAGAGAAAGAGAAAGAGAGAGAGAAAGAGAGAGAAAAGAAAGGAATACAGAGAATAAAATGGGTTATTGAAGAAAGGAAAGGACGGGGAGAATTAATTGAAGTAATCGTGGAAGATTATGAAGAAAAACAGTGGAAAGCATGCAGTCAGATAAATGAAATAACAATTGACATTTTCCCATCTTTAGCGAGATTCTGGGTTCATTGCCACAACTCACCATGGCCGAGACGACGCGGGAAACCATGATCGGATCTCCCCGACTGGCGTGAGGCATCCCACGCTTATCCAGCATGAACAAACAGGCATCCAGGATCCCGTGGTCAAACTGATGGGAGAAAAGAAGGAAGGTCAAAGGAGCAAGGAAAGATGGCTGCCCAGGTTCTCTGTTTCGTTTTAGGACGAAGAAATAAATCTCCAGGCAAGGATTTCAGCCCTGGGGTAGCCATTTTGACCACGTTCTGGGGGTTCCCCTGCCCTAGTGAGGAACTTAGCCATGTTTGCGTCATTTTCAATCTTCCTTCCTTCCTTCCTTCCTTCCTTCCTTCCTTCCTTCCTTTCTTCCTTCTCCCTCCCTCCCTCCATTTATCCCTCCCTCCCTCCACCCATCCAAAGTGATTGTCCTCCCTAAAAAAATATCTTGTCTATTTTCCTTTCCTTTCCTTTCCTCTTTTCTATTTTCCTTTCCTTTTTTTCTATTTCCCTTCCCTTCCTTACTAATAAAGCTTTTGTTTATACAGAATACAGAATAATTGGAAGGGACCCTGGAGGTCTTCTAGTCCATCCCCCTGGACTACACCATTTCAGACAAATAACTGTCTAATCTCTCTCTCTCCCTCTTTCTCTTCCTTTCTTCCTTCCTTCCTTTCTTTTTTCCCTTTCCTTCTTTCTTTTCTTTCTTTCTTTCTTTTTCCCTTTCCTCCTTTCTTTTCTTTCTTTCTTTCTTTCTCCCTTTCCCCTCTTTTCTTTCTTTCTTTCTTTCTTTCCCTCCCTTTCCCTTTCTTTCTTTCTTTTTTCTTTTTTTCTTTCTTTCTTTCTTTCTTTCTTTCTTTCTTTCTTTCTTTCTTTCTTTCTTTCTTTCTTTCTTTCTTTTTCCCTTTCCCCCTCTTCTTTCTTTCTCTTTCTTTCTGCATCACATCAAACATCTTATATTTCCTCGCCGCTTCCTTAGATTTCTCAGTTTTTCAACCATAACAAAATAGCCACCAAATTCTTGCACAGCAGCTGCTCACAGGAAACGTGACCCAAAGGCGATTTGGGGTTTTGTGGGCACAGCTATAACTCCAGAGTCCTTTCAAAGACCATTTGCTCCTGAAACATTTTTGCAACGAGAAGGAGAAAAAGCATCTTACCTGGGCGTAGTTCCATGTGCGCTCCCCAATCTGACTTTCTGTTCCGTAATAAATTCTCCCCGTTTCGTTCAGCACGTATTCCTTGAGACAGTCGGTCTGTTGCAGGTAGACTGGGTCCTCTAAAAGAGGAGAAAAAAAACGAGGGAAATTCAATTAAACGGGAAACATTCCAGCATTTCTTTTGAAAATATTTTAAAGGGAGGAAGGAGCCGATTCAGCCACAAAGCACACCTTGGTGATCTAATGTACCTTTAAAAAAAACAACAACATCCTTTAGTTGGAGAAATTAAAATACTTTGGCTTCTGCTGACATTTTCTGGCAAATAAAAATGGATTTCATGTTTACTTTTGACCTTTAGGCGTGCGCCGCTTTGCGATCCCTCCGGGAAAAAAATTAGCTTCGTTAAAATTGCCACAATAAAATGCTCTTTTTTTAAAAAATACAGGCCGTCCTTGACTTACGACGCTTCATTTAGTGACCGTTTGAAGTTACAACAGTGAAAAAAGTGGCTTAAGACTGTTTTTCACACTTACGACCGTTGGGGCATTCCCCAGGGTCACGTGATCAAAATTCAGATCCCTTGGCAACCGACTCGTATTTATGACGGTCGCAATGTCCCGGGGTCAGGCGATTCTCTGAACAAGGGTGTCAAGGAAGGTTATAAAATGGGGCAAAATTCGCTGAATGACTGTCTCACTTAGCAACGGAAAGTCGGGACTCGGTTTTGGTCGTAAGCCGAGGACTTGAAGCATCTCTCTTTGGGGGGAAAACTTTCCAGCGACGGATGAACAAACGTAATGAAGTCATTTCCTGATGGTTGATCAACATTTAAAAAAAAAAATGGATCGAAGGATTTTATCTTTATTTTCCTTCCTGCCCAGGGAACGTGACCTAAGTGTTCTCTTTAGGGTGGTGTGTTTGTGTTTGTGTGAGTCCTTGTTTTCTCTTTTTCTGTGTGCCAAGCTAAAGATTTATTTATTTCGGTCTTTCCTGCCATGAAGAGCAGGGAGAAATTTATTCCTTTCCGCAGCCCAGTTTTTCTGCCTCTCCTTAGCCGTTCAGGATGGAAACAGGAAGAGGGGTGTGGAGTGTGATACAATTCCTAGGTTTTCCATATGGAACGACCACATCACACACCTGCCAGTTTCTTTCCAAGAAGGTCCCAAAGTAACGAAATTCTTATTTACAAAGACAAGGATGGGGAAATTCCCGTTTTCCCCTCTTAAGAAATGGCCACATCAAAGTCCAGTCGTCAAACTGAACTCCGATCTCTAAGAAATACCTTCAAATGCAAAAATAGAATAGAATAGAATAATCAAATACAGAATAGAATAGAATAGAATAGAAAATATGAAATAGAATAGAAAATGTGGAATAGAATAGAATAGAATAGAATAGAATAGAATAGAATAGAATAGAATAGAATAGAATAGAATAGAAATAAGAATGGAATAGAAATAAGAATAGAATAGAAATAAGAATAAATAGAAATAAGAATAGAATAGAAATAAGAACAGAATAGAACAGAAATAAGAATAAATAGAAATAAGAATAGAATAGAAATAAGAATAGAATAGAAATAAGAATAGAATAGAAATAAGAACAGAATAGAAATAAGAACAGAATAGAACAGAAATAAGAATAGAATAGAAAATAGAATAGAATAGAATAGAATAGAATAGAATAGACAGAGTTGGGAGGGACCTTGGAGGTCATCTAGTCCAACCCCCTGCTCAGGCAGGAGACCCTATACCATTTCAGACAAATGGCTGTCTGATCTCTTCTTAAAAACTTCCAGTGTTGGAAGTAAATCCAGTTACAGGCACTCCTCGACTTACGACTTCAAATGAGCCGAAAATTTCCTTTTCTAAGCGAGACATTTGTTGAGCGGGTTTTGCCCCACTTTACGACCTTTCTAACCACGGTCATTAAGCGAATCACTGCAGTTGTTCAGTGAGTCACACGGTCATTAAGTGAATCCGGCTTCCCCCATCGACTTTGCTTTTCAGAAGGTCGCCAATCACGTGACACCCCCCCCCGGGATGCTGCGACCGTCATAAATGCGAGTCAGTTGCCAAAGCGTCCAAATTTTGATCCCGTGACCGCGGGGATGGTGCGACGGTCGCTAAGCGGGAAAAAGGGTCCTAAGTCCCATCTTTTCACTGCCATTGTCACTTCGGTCACGAAACGAACCGTCGTAAGTCGAGGACTTCCCTGTAATCTCTCGCGCTGAGAAAGACGGAACCCGGCCGAAAGGAAAAATAATGCATTTTGTTTTTCCTCCCCCGCTTCCTCCTTCCTTCCTTTCCTCTTTCTCGACCTGTCTAGGTAGATAAACAATCAAGGTTTACTCCTTCCCACGCCCTGCTGACTCGGGCAGAAAAATTAAGCCAGCGCCTTTCGCACCCAGGTCAAGAGGGTGTGTGTCGGGGCGAGGAGATTGAGCTCGGATTGTTTTGAGCATCTTTGAGGAACCGTGGGAAAAACTCGCGGTGGATTTTTTTTAAGACCGTCTACCCAACCGTCCACCTGGCGAAATGCCGGGGGGTCCTCTGCTTATGACCACACCCACATTGGTGCCGTTCAGCGAGGCGGGGATGGAGTTGTGTCCAGTTCCGCCAGGTTTCTGCCACGGTTCTTCCGCAAAACCGCCGCCGTCGTTAAGCGAAGCCTGCGGTCACTAAGCGAATCCGGCTTCCTCCGTTGACTTTGCTTGCTGGCCGGAAGCCGGCTGGCAAAGTTGCAAGGTGGGGGAGGAATCCCGGGACGCTGGGAGGCTGCGGCAGTTGGAAATCCGTTCCGGTTTGCCGAGGGCCTGGATTTGGGTCGTGTAACTGTGGGGAATCCTGCAGGCGGTCGTAAGTGTGGGGACTGGTTTTAAGTCATGCTTTTCCCTGCGGTTGTAACTTTGGTCGCCGAAAGGAAGGGTTGTTAAGTCAAGGACTGGGTTACGATGTAACGTAAAGAATGGACGTAAAGCCCTTCAAGCCAATTTTAATGTGTCAGTTGTGACTGGGTAATGGTTTTGTGTGTTGTTACTCACAGAAAGACCACTTTAGCCAAATTTGGGGTAATTCACCCAGCTTTGGGAAGCACTGCTATAAATCATTATTAAGAAAAAGATTGAAGATGTGAATGGATGACTTCTTCCTTCCTTCCTTCCTTCCTTCCTTCCTTCCTTCCTTCCTTCCTTCCTTCCTTCCTTCCTTCCTTCCTTCCTTCCTTCCTTCCTTCCTTCCATCTCTACTTCCTTCCTTCCATCCATTCACCCACCCTTCAATTGATCGCTCCATCTCCTTCCTTCCTTCCATCCTTCCTTCCTTCCTTCGTTCCTTCTTTTCTTTCCTTCCTTCCTTCCATTATCTCCATCTCCTTCCTTCCTACCTTCCATTCAACCATCCATCCATCCATTCATTCACCCATCCTTCCATCCTTCCATCCATCTCTCCATCTCCTTCCTTCCTTCCCTCCCTCCCTCCCTCCCTCCATCCATCCTTCCATCTCTACTTCCTTCCTTCCATCCATTCACCCACCCTTCCATTGATCGCTCCATCTCCTTCCTTCCTTCCTTCCTTCCTTCCTTCCTTCCTTCCTTCCTTCCTTCCATCCATTATCTCCATCTCCTTCCTTCCTACCATCCATCCATCCATTCATTCACCCATCCTTCCATCCATCTCTCCATCTCCTTCCTCCTTCCTTCCTTTTATCCATCCATCCATTTATCCCTCCGTCCCTCCTTCCCTCTCTCCCTCCACCCATCCAAAGTGATTGTCCTCCCTAAAAACAAAACAAAACAAAACAGAGGGCCACTCTTTAATCGATCATATATAGGCAGATCAATAACAGACACGACACCCCAGTAAACGGCTGGCTCCGTCAGCCTTCCAGACATCGGGCTGTTCACCTCCCAGAATTCCCCAGTCGTGCTAACGAAGGGATTCTGGGAGCTAAGCTGCCAACTGAGCTACAAAACACCCATTTGAGCAAAACCGGGCTACGGATTCCGCTCTTACCCTCCCCTCTATGTTTCTCTCTCACCCCCTTATTCTCCCCAGGACTCACCTGGGCACCAGGGGTTGAAGAGGATGTACACCTCGTTGTTGGGGTCGAAGGGGGCGGCGTACTCGCCCGCCTTGCTCCGGGTCTTCACGCTGAACTGGTACTTGCCCACCACCGCCCTGGGCGAGGGGCAGACGCGGAGACACATGCTGTTGTCGTCCGAGCTGGTCATTTCCGCCGACCAGCCCATGCCAGGCAGGGAGCTGCCGACGGGCACAAGAATGTGGGTCCCCTTCGAGGACTGCGGATTGGAGCCTGTCGGAGGGAAAATGAATAGTTATAATTTTATTATTGATAGAATTAACGATAGGTAGTAGCGATAGCGATACACGCCTCGTGTGCAATCCCGAAGCAACGGGAGCATCCCTTGAACACTGACGGCATTGACAAGATCCCCGTCGGTCAATTGCCAAAGGCAGCTTGATCTGGAAGGGCTGAAACCCCACGAAGCAACAACATCTGCATTATTGATAGAATTAACGATAGGTAGTAGCAATAGCGATAGACGCCTCACATGCAATCCGGAAGCAACAGGAGCATCCCTTGAACGTCGGCGGCATTGACAAAATCGCCGTCGGTCAATTGCCAACGGCAGTTTGATCTGGAAGGGCTGAAACCCCACGAAGCAACAACATCTGCTTGTTTATTTGCCAAGTGTGATTGGACACACAAGGAATTTGTCTCCGGTGCAGAAGCTCTCAGCGTACATACAAGCAACGAGTGATTAATTAATGATCATAATCAACATAAAAATACACTCATCATAAATCATAAGACGCAAGGCTTAGGGATAGTCATAGGATACTAGATAAGCAAACAACATTAAATCATACCAGGATAACTAAATAAAACAATATCAATCGTAAGGTACAAGCAACAAAGTTGTAGTCCTAAGAAGACAAGAGTGAAAAGGGGTCACAGGTCACCCCTAATTACAGGCAGTCCTCGACTTACGACCGCAATTGAGCCCAAAGTTTCTGTTGTTGTGAAACATTTGTTGTGAGTTTTACGACCTTTCTTGCAGTGGATCACTGCATCGTTAACTTAGTAACACGTCGTTAAGTCAGCCTAAGTTTCTCGTTGACTTCACTTGCCAGGAGGTCACACAAGGGGATCACGTGACCCCAGGGGACACGGCAACCGTCATAAATCTGAGTCAGTTGCCCAACGTCTGAATTTTGATTCCCAGGGATGCTGTGACGGTCGTAAGGGTGTAAAAAACGGTTGTAAGTCCCTTTTTTTCAGCGGCGTTGTAACCTCGAACGAAGCCGAGAACTATCTGTAAAGCTGAAGTAAATTATTCTTGAAAAGAGGACCAATCTGTTTGGGCGTCATCCATTCTTGGAAATTATACAAGAGGCCTGTTTTGATAACCCGGGTTTTCATGGGTTGTCTGAAGCCAACTCTCCCACCCAAACGTCAACAAATCCACCTTTGTTGGTTGAGATGGGTGGCTCCCACTGTCCCCAAAACAGACATTTTTTTTTTATCAAGCAATGCTTAGAGACTGGCTTGGCGTTAAGCCTCGGTTTGCTAGGAGAGGTTAGATAAGGTGTGTGAGAACAACGTGTTTCTGGATGGTGGGAACAGGCAGCCCTTTCCCCTGCCAAACATTCATGTTTCAAGAGATAATGTGAATTCTCCAGATTCCACCGCTTGTTTCCTCTCTTAAATAAACCTAGAATCAATGCAAGGGATTTACAAGAGCCCAGCCCAGCCCAGCCCAGCTTGGTTACGGTGCCCTTAACCGCAGCTTGATCGGCAAGACAGACCGTGGTTTAGTGGTTCAGGCAGCCATTTTCCCTTGCAACCAGGAGCAACATTTACGTTCCTTATTCTGGGGGGTGGGGGGGAGAAGGAACAGTCCCTTATCAAAGGTGTTGCTTTCTGGCTGATGGTGGGTCAGTCGTAAATAGAGATCGTCCTTGACTTACAACCACAATTGAGTCCAAAATCTCTGGGGCTCTTAAGTGAGTTTTACTCCATTTTACCATCTTTCTGGCCCCGGTGCTTAAGGGGATCACTGCAGTTGTTAACTGAGTAGCACAGTTGTTAAGTGAGTCTGGATTCCACACTGACTTTGCTTGTCAGAAGGTCCTAAAAGGGATCACAAGACCCAGGGGGACTCTGCGACCGTCATAAATGTGAGTCGGTTGCCAAGCGTCTGAATTCTGATCCCGTGATCCTGGGGATGCTGCAAGAGTCGTTAACTATGGAAAACGGTCACAAGTCACATTTTTCGGCGCTGTTGTAACTTTGAACGGTCGCTAAACAAGCTGTTGTAAGTCGAGGAGTATCTGTAAAGATTGCAATAGGAGGAAGAAAAAAAGTAAGAAAAATCAAGTGAATTTCTTGACTTTAGGATAGTGTTTCGGCAACTTTAAGAAGGGTGGACTTCAGCTCCCAGAATTCCAATGCTGGCCCTTTAAGACGGGTGGACTTCAACTCCCAGAATTCCAATGCTGGCCCTTTAAGACGGGTGGACTTCAACTTCCAGAATTCCCATGCTGGCCCTTTAAGACGGGTGGACTTCAACTCCCAGAATCCCAATGCTGGCCCTTTAAGACTGGTGGACTTCAACTCCCAGAATTCCAATGCTGGCCCTTTAAGACGGGTGGACATCAACTCCCAGAATTCCCATGCTGGCCCTTGAAGATGGGTTACAAGGGCCCTGAAACTCCCAGAATTCCCCAGTCAACATAAATCTACCCATCTTAAAAGTTGCTGAGGTTGAAAAACATTGCTGAAACATTGTTGAGAAGGGGAGTTACGACACTTAGAAGAAAAATGGAAAAGACGTTTTTTGTTTCCAACCTCTGCTGTTCTCTTCCTTCCCTATTATTTAGGAGTTGCAGGTTAGGGCAAGCAGGGGAAAAAAAACTAAAAACCTGTTCTCCAGGTGTGGCTCTTTTCACCTCCCAGGTAACAGGGGCAGCGAGGCCGGGTTTTCTAGCTAGATCAGGGGTCTTCCAATTTGGCCCTTTGATGACTTGTGGACTTCAACTCCCAGAATTCCTCAGCCGTCCATTTTGATGAAACTGTGGGCTTGGATCCAGACCAGGGGTTTTCAAACTTGGCCCTTTTTATGACTTGTGGACTTCAACTCCCAGAATTCCTCAGTTGGCCATTTTGATGAAACTGTGGGCTTGGATCCAGACCAGGGGTTTTCAAACTTGGCCCTTTTATGACTTGTGGACTTCAACTCCCAGAATTCCTCAGTCGGACATTTTGATGAAACTGTGGGCTTGGATCCAGACCAGGGGTTTTCAAACTTGGCCCTTTTATGACTTGTGGACTTCAACTCCCAGAATTCCTCAGTCAGCCATTTTGATGAAACCGCGGGTTTGGATCCACACCAGGGGTCTTCAAACTTGGCCCTTTTATGACTTGTGGACTTCAACTCCCAGAATTCCTCAGTCGGCCATTTTGATGAAACTGCAGGCTTGGATCCAGACCAGTGGTCTTCAAACTTGGCCTTTTATGACTTGTGGACTTCAACTCCCAGAATTCCTCAGTTGGCCATTTTGATGAAACTGTGGGCTTGGATCCAGACCAGGGGTTTTCAAACTTGGCCCTTTTATGACTTGTGGACTTCAACTCCCAGAATTCCTCAGTCGGCCATTTTGATGAAATCGCGGGCTTGGATCCAGACCAGGGGTCTTCTGGGAATCGAAGTCTACCAGTCTTCTGCTTTAGGCAGAAATGCAACCGGTTCAGTTTCAGGCAGCAGAAAAGCAGAGAGGTGAGCTCACACTTACGTCAACCTGCTGCCCTTTGGGGAAAGTTGAAAGTGGAGAATTGGCCCGAGGAGAGAAAAAAAATTAAAAAAAGAAAAGAAATAACACGTTAGGCCTTCATTTAGCAACCCGGCACATCACAAAAGCTTAAAACACAAGGAAGAAACCCGTGAAAAAAAACAACAACTTGTGCTCTTTTTCACACGCTTTAAATTTTTATGCTGCCGAATATCCAGGTCGTCCTCAACTTACAACGGTTCGTTTAGTGACCGTTTGAAGTTACAATAGCACTGGTGAAAAAAAGAGGACCAAGGACCGATTTTTACGCTTACGACCGTCGCAACGTCTCCACGGTCACGTGATCGAAATTCAGACGCTTGGCAACCGACTCGTATTTATGACGGTGGTTGTAAAATGTGGCAAAACTCACTTAACAACCGTCTCGTTTAGGAACGCAAATGGACTCAGTTGTGCTCGTAAGTCGTGGCTTGGGCCCCTTTTCGGATATAAGGAAATGTAATGAAAAAGCCGGAGCCCCTTTTCGGATATTCTGAATTGTGTGGTCTCCCTGCCGCTGAATATACAGCCACACCTGCTGTTGATATCCGGGGCTTTATGGAATGGCTTCCTTCAACTGCATAGAAAAAATAAATACATCCATAAATCTATTTCCTAAACTAAGTCATCCAGCATTCAAGGTGTTGGAATGAAGAAGTAATTAGTTTTCAGATACCGCAACTGGTTCTCCCTCTTTTAGAACTCAGCACTTCCTATAATTAGAATTTTGCATCCTTTCCTTCCTGGAGAAGACGTTCACCTCGTGAGATTTTTTTAGGGTTTTCCGCCAGAAAGGGCTGCTTCTAAGTCTTAAAACCATATTTCTAGAACAGTGTTTCTCCACCTTGACAATTTTAAGGCATGTGGACTTCAACTCCCAGAATTCCACAGCCAGCATTGCTGGCTGTGGAATTCTGGGAGTTGAGGTCCACATGCCTTAAAATTGTCAAGGTGGAGAAACACTGTTCTAGAAGTTCTTCTCGCTGCTGGCAGGGATGTTCCCTGACCTACTTCACGTGGACTCCATCTTCAAGGTCTCCTGCAGACATCTCTGCTCCAAAGCAGAAGTCATATTTCCTTCAGGTGTAGCAAATGGTTGAAGTCCTAAGGATGAAAAAGATTCCCAAAGAACAAGGATGCGCCTATCCTGGTGCTTGATGGTCTACCTAAGGTTCTTCCAGGGCTTGGTCTCCATCAGATGTAACCATATCCAGGTAGCCTTCAAAATTACGATTATTTCTTTAGTTATCTCTTCATGGAGAAGTTCTCTAGAAGTTTGAAGGATCATCCAGGTTCTCCTTTGCCAGGAAGGGCTTCCACTGTTTCTTCTTGCCCAGTTGACCTACTTCACTTGGGCTTCATCTTGAATGTGAGGAGAGATTTCTCCTGCAGACATCTCTGTTATGAAGCAGAAGTCATATTTACTTCAGGTGTAGCAAATGGTTGAAGTCCTAAGGATGA